TGAGGAGTCAGGAATCTCAGGCCACATTTGGGGAGGAGACGCCACAGGAGAAATGACACTCTCAAAGATCAGCATGATCAAGAAGAGCTGCTCACTCATGCAATGTAATTTGGACTGTAGCCTAAGTAAGTGGGGAGCAGTGAAAGTCATTGTGTGGAAGAGGGTTATGGCCATTGGAAACCTCTTTGCCTGGGGTGTGGAGCTGGGCGCGGGAGAGTGGGCAACAAGGGCCACAAGAGCAAGTCCATCCACCATTTATCTCTCATCCCCAAATACAGGTGGACAGTTTAAAGCAAGATTCCTCGAGGCATAGTAGGTGCTGAATACACATTTCTTACCTGATTCTATTTGCTTAAGTCAATATGATAGCCACAAATATCCCAGAGGAAAAAGAGGAAGGACACTTGGGCTGAGGAATCCTTATTCAAATGCTTAGCACCAGAAATGCTTCAAGTTTTACACGTGGAGTATTCTGCAAATACATGGCGCGGTATTTCCCGGGAAGTTCAAGGGTGAACAAGGAGTGATGTGTTTCATGCACACTGAAATGCACAGCCCAAGGTGGCTCTCATTGGCTAATGTCTCTGTGAAGTAAAGTGCTATTTAATCTTCCACTTGTGTCATGTGACGTCCCAGAGCTGCATGCAGACTGAGAGCATTGAGAATACCTGAGCTAGAGAAGGTGGGGTTGAGGCACCTGATTCTTCACCAGTCATCATTACCAGGCCTTGCTGGAAGAGCTGCCCCTGCTGATTGTGGGACACCCTTTAGGCACCATAACAGGGAAGATAATGAGAAGCCAGCACTAAGATAGGAGGGTCACAGGAGACACCTGGGCTTCTGGAAGTCAACCCATCTCCCACCTGGCCAGTTGGGAGGGAAGAAGCAGTTTTCTGGGGTCCTGAGGGGTGGGAGGCCTAACTGGAGAGTCCCTGATCTCCACCTACAGAATGGAAGGAAATCAGAATGGAATGCTTGTGTTTCAGTCTCGGAAAGGATAGGAAATCAGGTGGGGCAATTTCCCATCACCTGCCCCGTGGAGCCAGGGACAGTGCAGTGTTCAGAGAGTGAGTAGTGGGAAATTCACCTGGAAAACCCCGGACCAAATGTCTGGGAGATGTCTGGCCAAAAAAGACATGGTCCTTCTGAGGGAACAACCCTGACCCATGGGGTGCTGCTGTCTCCAAAGGAGCCACCTAGCCACCAATGTCTTCCTGGTCCTTCAGGATAGGGGGTGAGTCAGGTGGGGCTGGTTAATTTGTCAACTTGATACAAAATGGTCTCACCTGGAAAGAGGGAGCCTCAAGTGAGGAGTTGCCTCCAGCAAACTGCCCTGGAGACAGGATAGCATTAAATCACCCGTGTGGCTTGGAACTTGTGAGCTTCCTCCCTTAGTCTCCCAAGTAGGTGGGATATGGCACTAGGCCCAGCTCACACCTTCCTTGCACCAGGACAACTCTGAGCTCCCTGACCCCCAGTCAGTCCTGGCACCTCAGGCAGGTGTGTGAAAAGCCTGACACATTGCGGTCCTCCTCAGGCCACAGTGAGCAGGACAGGGATGAGCACCTGACTCAGGCCAGGCCCACGGCTTCTGTTTTGAGACTGAACTGTAGGGAAGGGAAACTGCTCTTGGCAGATGCTAGCAAAGGAACAGATGAGCCTGCCCCCTGGCAACTGCCCACAGACACTTGCTTCTTGGCCCCTCATTCTGCAGGCCAGCGTGAAAAGTAAGACTGCAAGCCCCACGTATCTCAGCCATGGCATCTGCACTGAGAGTCTGTGCCTTCCAGATTCAAAGCCTGATGCTGGGGCAAGTTTTGGGTGGGCTTAGCACGGGATCCCTTCGAGTCCTGGAGCAGGAAGCAGAGAAGAGGTCTCAGGGAGGAAGGGCCAGGCTCTGGTTCTACAAGGAACCCAGAGGGCATGAGACAGCACCCAAGTCTTGCTGCCGATCTGCTGGAGGCAGTTCCTTAGTGGAGGTCCCCTCTTCCGAGGTATGCCTGGGTTGTATCAGGCTGCTAACACTAACTGGCCCAGGATAAGGTGCCTGTATTAGCTTCCTCTTTTCATTATGCTTGTAACTTCAGGAGTTGTGGTTGCTTTGCTCTCGAATTACAGAAACCTGACCACAGGGTTTACACTGAAGCTATTTCTGTTCCTTAATAAGTGAGTTCAGCTGTCAGAAAGCTCCAAGAAGCACCGGGCTTTCTCTCTTTCCTCTCTGCTGTCCTTAGTGGATTAGCTTTTACGTGCATAGGTATCTTCTTTCTGTTACAGAAAAGCTGCTCCCGACATCACTCAAACACACTAGAGAGAAAGCAGGAAATGGGATAGAAACAGGATGCTTGTCACATTGTAAGCTGGGTGCTGGAGAGATGGCTCCATGGTTAAGAGGACTGACTGCTCTTGAGAGGACCTGGGTTCAATTTCTAGCATCCACTTGGTAGTTCATACCTGTCTGTCTCTCCAGATCCATAGGATCTGATGCCCCCTTCTGACCTCTGAGGACACCAGGCACATGCAGCGCACAGACATATGGACAAACGCTCATACACATAAAATAAAATAAATCATTTTTTTCTCTTTCAAGACAGGATTTTCTCTGTGTAGCTTTGGAGCCTGTTCTGGAATTCACTTTGTAGGCCAGGCTGGCCTCGAACTCACAAAGATTCACTTGTCTCTGCCTCCCAAGTGCTGGAATTTAAGGTGTGTGCCCAGCAATACAATACTTTCTTAAAACTTTTTCTTTAAAAGTGTAACCTTTTCACACTTCCTCCTGCCAGTCCTCAGCAAAACTCCCCTTCAATCTTGTTTAACTTGAACAGCCTCCTATAGCTACATGGGAAGCTGAGAACCATGTGTGAGATAGGGGATAGACACCAGTGACGCAGGCCACAGGCCCTCACCCCTGACTGTGTCTTCTTGGGATCCTTTTAGAGTACTGATTTGTACATGGTATTAACCAGGTCTGGTGGTTCTTAATCAAGGGTGATTTTGCAAATTGGGTTGATTTAAAAAATCTGTATGTATGTATTGTGTATGTGTGCATGTATCTATCTATATATGTATGTGTGTGTGTGTGTGTGTGTGTGTGTGTGAGTATATGTGTGTGTGTGTGTGTGTGTGTGTGTGTGTGTGTGTAGGGGAGAGGTGAAGGAGAGGAGAGACATGTTTGCCAGAGAATATTGTGACAGTCAGAAGACTACCTTGACGGGTGATCCTTATCTTCCACCTGCTGGAGACTAGGTCTCTCTTGTATTTCCCCTGAGTGAGCCAAATTACCTGACCAGTGAGCTTTAGGGGTTCTACATCTTCACCTCCACTTTTACTGTTCGAGTGAAGGGATTACACACGTGCGCTGCAATGTTTGGATTTTTGTGGGTTCTGGGATTCCAAACTCAGCTTCTTACATGTGTGCAAATTTGATTTACCCAACGAACCAACTCTTCAACCCTGGAATACATTTAAAAAAAATCTTTAAAAATAAAATGTATTTGCTTAGCATGGAGGGGGAATTTGATTCTTTCTTTCTCCTTTTTTCCCTTTTTTGCTGGGCAGGGGACTGTATTTGAAGCAAGGCCTTAATAATCCAAAACTAGCCTCAAGTTCACTTATAGCTGAGGATGACGTTGAACTTCTGATCCTCCTGCTCTACTCCTGCTAGGATTATAAACACGAACCACCATGCTCGGTTTAATGTGGTGCTGGGGCTCAAATGCAGGGCCTCGTGCCTGGTGGGCAAGTGCTCTACAACCGAGTTCTAGCCCTAACTGTAGATTCTAAAGGTTGAAATTTAACCAGTAGCGTCTGTTATTTACACATTCACTGTAGAGGCTTAGAGTATTTTTAAATGACTTTTTATTCACATTTTTCCCTGGAGTTTCTAGTCACACCCCCACTTCACCACTTGCCTTGGGCCATTCTATTCACTCAGCCCACTGCTGTAGGGTATGGAAGGCTGGGGAAGGAAGGCAGAGGAACTGAACTAGACACAGGTCCTGGGGAACTGGGAGGCTGTCCCTCCCTATCAGATGGGGGAAAATACCAGAGAAATCTAGCTGATTTAGATCAGAAAGATAAAGGAAATTTCTAAGGCTACCTGTCATTCTATGCTTTTGCTAGATCAACTAGTCAATCAATATAGTCAAGGCTGTTAAATGTTTGTATCCGTTTGGGAATAGTCTTAATGGAAGCTTCTATTGCCGCCCCTGACTGCGCAGCCCTGGAGCAAACAACTCCTAACTTCTGATTTACAGAGAAGAGCAAGCCTTCTTTTCACTTGTCAATCACATGGTGATGCAAACACTTTGAGTGACAGCGGTAGCGTGGACGTGATGGCGAGTGTCCAGTCAGTGATCCTCTTCCCATCTCTTCCAGTCTGTGTCTTTAAACATGTTTAATGACCATGGGTATTTGTCATTATTGGCTGCCCAACAGCAGATCATGAAGGGCTTGGGTGGAAAGAAGGGGTAGAATGGTGTCTCATTCCAGAGCCCAGGCTGACTTTTAACTGGCAATTCTCCTGCCTCTTTCACTTCACCCAGCTTAAAACTGTTAAGTGGATTATGTCCAAGTTTCCTGGGGCTGGGATGGAAACCCTCGACAACATGGACACCTGGATACAGCATGGTAGGAACACACAGAACACACAGAACATCTGTCCCCATTCTAACTCCACACCTGAATCCCTCTGAACTCTGTGGAGGTGTAAGGGACTGTGGTGTGCTTCTCAGAGCTAACAGAGCACAGCAGACAGAGGACCTGGCCCTGCCAACCAGTCCTGCTGGAAAAAAGGATCACATTCCCACAGATTCAGAGCTTTTCCTTTGTTCTCTGTCACTCTGGACTGACCAGCTGTTGTTTCCCTTACAGAATGTGGAATTTTTCATGTCACCTCTGCCCAGGGGCCATGCTAATAGCACTTCGGGCTTTAGGGTCTGTAATACCAATTGACTGACCAGTTTTTTTTTTGTTTGTTTGTTTGTTTTTTTTTTTTTCCTGAGTAACAACTTTTGGTTGTTGAGAAGCCACAGCACAGTATTTCAAAGTGACAAAATCCGGGGCAATCACAGAGTACATCCAGCAGTGGCTTAATGTTCAAGGACAGGTTTACACAGGACATAGGTGTACACACCTCTTTTCTTCAGTGTATATGGCAAGTAGCCAAGACTCCTGATCATTAAAATAAGTTATTTTGTACATTACAGTGCACAGAGGAAAGGAACTTTCACAGAGGTGACCAAAAGGCATTGTACAGAAAGTCTCATGGTGAGTGGCAGCCAGGGCCTGCGGCCTTCAGGAGCTTGACCCCTGCTCTTTGGCTGCAGAGGCCTTAGGAGCAGCTGTTTCCTCCACTTGCTCAACTGGCTTTGCCTCCTCTTCCTCCTCCTCGTCTTGGGGATAGAGGTCCGGGTATTTCTGCATGCACTCCTGCATGGCCCGAAACTGGTCTATACAGTCTGATCCCTTGATTTCCTCTTTGCTGTGGTGGAAGCAGGAAAAGGCAGACTTGAACTGTTCCCCACAGGGGCCGCTGGCCATTCCCCCAAGGCACGGGCAATTCCAGTTAATATCTCCATTGGGCAGTATCAGTCCGTGCTCCTCATAGGGATCATTGGGGTCATCAGCCACCAGCTCCGCACTGCTAGGAGTTTCATGGTCTTCTTTGGTCACAAATATTATCCGATCCTTCCCTTCTTGCCGGCAGTAGGACATGGTTGTTCCAGACGCTCGCAGCTCTCCGAGGCAGCCGGCGCGACTGTAGTGGATACACCTTCAGGCGGTGACCTCCCTTCTCTTCTCCTCACGCCTGGCGGGCGGCACTGAGGCCCGCGAGGACCCGCCCCCTCCAGGCCTGCCCGCCGCGCGCCTGCCTCCGAGCCTCCGAAGCACCGAAGCACCGACTGACCAGTTTTTAACTGAGGCAGAGTTAACAGTCCATCGCTGAGAGAAGTCGGGACAGGAACTTGAGCAGGGGAAGAACCTATGAAGCAGAAGCCATGGAGGAGTGCTGCTTCCTGGTTTGCTTCTTGTGACTCGCTCAGCACACACTAACATCTGTCACATTATCTGCTAAGGACAACAAAGAAGGCAGCCTTTTTCACAGGTTAAAGAAGTGTTGGCACAACACTTAGGAGGCTAGGGCAGGAGGATCAGGAGTTCAAGGCTGGTCTGGGCCCCGAAGTGAAGAAAAAGAAGTGTTTTCACAAAAGATAAACGGAAGGAACAGTGTTTCCACTGGCCCACTGTATCTTTGGTTTGAAAGGTAATTTATATTTCCTACCCCTGGTGCTCGCCTCTCCCTTCAGCTAGATGGCCGAGACCAAGGTCTTGTCCTGCTTTCTTCCTGCTGCATGGTTCCCACCAAAACCGACTTTGCCTCCAGTCTTTACTGCACTTCTTGTGTGTAGGCTGGCGAGCAAGCAGCTGCGGTCTCTCTGGAGAAACTGGAAACGACATGAAAAAAGATGCATAAGCATCTGAAGCAAGGACTCAAGGCATCTCAGCCACACCGACCTCAGACCTGGCACACTGACCACCTCTCCTGGAGACTGAGGGATAGCTCTGTGGTAGTGGGCTTGCCTAATGCAGCTGAGTCCTGAGTTCAATCCCCTGGCCTGCAATCAATCAATCAATCAATGAGTGGTCTGAAGCCCAGGTTCTGGTACATTACTCCTAAATCCGTTGGTTTCTCTGGCATGCTAACAGTGCCCATTGTGTCAAAATGGGACTACCTGTAGCTGGGACCCAAAATTGAAAAAATAAAAATGAAAGGAGAGAAGAAAAATTTCTCAGCAATGGACGTACATTAAAGGTGAAAAAATTGCCTGGAAATGGACATATGTTACAGGGTATGATGATCCCAGCACTCAGAAGGCAAAGTTGGGAAAGACACAAGTTCAAGGCTAGCATGGGCTAGCAAGATATTCACTCAAAAATAAATGAATAGAGACATACAGAACAGACACTGATGGTTGCTGTTTCTTATTTCCCACAAACTTTCATGAGGAAAAGCAAACCCACACATCCTAGAGAGAAGAGTGAGAGCAAATGCCAAGGCCAGATCTGGTCACTAGCAGCCGGGTCCAAGATAAAAATGGCCTCCCATACTTCTGGGGGAGGAAATGAGGTCACATCTCTGCAGCTTCCAGCACATGTCTGTGTCACAAGCTTTGTCAACAAGCATTACAGGCTCAGGTTTCTTGACAATGTTCAGTTAGCATTCAGTGTTCTGAATTCAGCATTCAGCATGCTGCAGCCTGAAAACAGGCATTAGAAGCAGAGATAGGAGATGTGGCAGGACCATGAGCCGCTGCTAGAGGGATGAAAAACTGCAGAATCCAGCCCACACCTAGGTATGGGAGCACATTTTATCCTGCCGCGGCGGCTGTTAAGTCTATTGACTTGGAGGGTCTAATACATCTCAGCAGTACAGTCACTGCCTGTGACAGACACAGAGCCAGTGCCCAGCGAGTTCATAGCAAACATGCTGCAGGCGTTGTTCTGTGCTTCCTCATAACAGGATGTCTCGTGTTAACGTGGGTGCGGCCCCAGTTATCCTGAACTTGCTGAGTGCACAGCACACATGTCAGCATTCTCAGACACTGGGCATCCCCAGACCCTAAGGTTACCAGACATAATCTGGAATAAGAGAGATAGCAGCGGTACTGAAGGATGTGGGCTGGACTGTTATTTGAGAATATGAAGAAGAATGAAGAAGGAGAAAGAAAGAAAAAGGAGAAGGAGGAGGATGACAAGAAGAAGGAAGAGGAGGAGGAGGAGATGAGAAAGGAGAGAAGATGAAGGAGAAGAAGGAAAGAAGAAAAAAGAAGATAAAGAAGATGAAGAAAAAAGGAGAAGAAGATGATGATGATGAAGAAGGAGAAGGGAGGAGAAAGAGGAGGTGGAGGAAGAAGAGGAAGAGGAGAAAAAAGAAGATGATAAAGAAGGGAGAGAAGAAGAAGAAGGAAAAGAAGGAGAAGGGAGAAGAAGAAGGTGAAGAAGTAGAAGGAGAAGTCAGAGAAGATGGAGAAGGAGGGGAAGGAGAAGAAGAAGATGAAGAAGGAAAAGACAGAGAAGAAGAAGCTGATGTTACAGAACAAGGAGTAAAAACATTCCTTCAAGGAGGCCAGGACTTGTTCTTGCTTCTAATATTTTACTTACGTATTTAGAAATACTTAGTCGGGGCCAGAGCATTGGCACTGCATTAAAAGCACTAGATGCTCCTGCAGAGGACCTGGATTCGATCCCCAGCACCACATGGCGGCTCACAACAATCTGTAATTCCAATGTCAAGGGATTTGATACCCTCTTCTGACTTCCATGGGCACCAGGTACACATGTGGCACACAGACATCCATGCAAGGAAAACATTACACACAAAAAAACAAAAAGAGTTTTAAAAATTCCTTGTCAATATAGAAAGTTGAACTATTGCTTAGCAATAAAATCTATCGAAAAACTTATGTCTGAAAGATCTGTGACAACAAGGGAGACTCAGGCGAGGTAGGAGGAGAGATTGTAAAAGCTCACGTCAATTCTTCCGAACCAACTCCACCCCTAATAGTAATCGAGTCAATATAACCTGAACACCATGGAAGCATCTGTGCCAAGTGTAAGACAGCCGTTCTCTCAGTTACTCTCACCACTGTCCCTCAAAGTGAACAAATGACCTCCATTTTCTCAGGAGAGAACCGACCTTGAAGGAAGAAGAGGAGGCTGTCCCCTGTATTCGGGGTGCAGGACGCCCCCATTTTGGTTTCTCTTTAATTAGTTAGACTTTTTTTTTTTATTGAGAAAAGAAAAAAAAACATAAACAAAAAAAAAACAAGTTTCCACCTCCTCCCAGCCTCCCATTTCCCTCCCCCTCCTCCCACCCTTCTCCCCCTCCTCCCACCCTTCTCCCCCTCCCCCCACTCCTCTCCCCCTCCCTCTCCAGTCCACAGAACAGTCCAGGTTCCCTGCCCTGTGGTAAGTCCTAGGTCCTCCCCCCTCCGTCCAAATCTAGGAAGGTGAACATCCAAACTGGCTAGGCTCCTACAAAGCCAGCACATTAAGTAGGATCAAAACCCTGTGCCATTGTCCTTGGCGTCTCATCAGCCTTCATTGTTCACCATGTTCAGAGAGTCCGGTTTTATCCCATGCTTTTTCGGTCACAGTCCAGCTGGCCTTGGTGAGCTCCCAGTAGATCAGCTCCACTGTCTCAGTGGGTGGGTGCACGCCTCGTGGTCCCGACTTCTTTGCTCATGTTCTCCCTCCTTCTGCTCCTCATTGGGACCTTGGGAGCTCAGTCCAGTGCTCCTGTGTGGGTCTCTGTCTCTATCCATCACCAGATGAAGGTTCTATGATGATATGCAAGATATTCATCAGTATTGCTCTAGGATAGGGTCATTTCAGGTTACCAATCCTCAGCTGCCCAAGGAACTAACTGGGAACCTCATCTTGGGCACTTGGGAGCCCCTCTAGGGTCAAGTCTCTTGCCCACCCTAAAGTGGCTCCCTTAGCTAAGAATTGTGGTTCCGTGCTCCCCTATCCACCCTTCCTTTATCCCAATTCTCCTGTTTCCCCAAGTCCCCCCTCCTTCCCTTCTACCTTTTCTCTCCCCATCTCCCTTTACCCCCATCCCACCCCACCCCCAAGAACCCAATTTTCTCCCCGGCAATTTGGTCTACTTCCCTTAGCCATGAGGATAACTGTGTGTTTTTCCTTGGGTTCACCTTCTTACTTAGTTTCTTTAGGTTCACCTATTGTAGACTCCGTGGCCCTTATTTATGGCTAGAAACCAATTATGAGCGAGTACATCCTATGTTCATCTTTTTGGGTCTGGGACACCTCACTCAGGATAGTGTTTTCTATTTCCATCCATTTGCATGCAAAATTCGAGAAGTCATTGTTTTTTACCACAGCGTAGTACTCTAGCGTGTATATATTCCATACTTTCTTCATCCATTCTTCCATTGAAGGGCATCTAGGTTGTTTCCAGGTTCTGGCTATTACAAATAATACTGCTATGAACATTAGTTAGACTTTAAGTCACACTGACCAAGTACTTGAGGAAAGCAGTACCAAGGGGATGACGGTTAAGACTGCACACCTGGCAGGATCTAGAGCAGTGGTTCTCAGCCTTCCTAAGCTGTGCCCCGCTAACACTGTCCCTCATGTTGTGGTGACCCCAACCGTAAAATTATCTTCATGGCCCTTTATAATTGTTATGTTGTTACTGTTATTAATTGTAGTATAAATATCTGTGTTTTCTGATGGTCTTAGGTAACCCCTATGAAAGGGTCATTTGACCTCTGTCCCCAAAGGGTCACTACCCACAGGTTGCAGACTGCTGATCTAGAGTCACCTGGAGACAGGCGTCTCGGCCCGTCTGTGAGGGAGTTTCTAGACAGGGCTACAGAAGGGAAAGACTCGGCATAAATATGGGCAGGGGCCTGACTGAAAATCCACAGTGTTGATCTGTGTCTGTGTCCTGATGATGGACGCAATGCGAGCAAACTTCCTGCTGGCATGACTTTGGGCACGATTTACGAGAACTCTCAAACTAGGAGCCACAATAAACTCTTTCTTCCTTACTTCTTTATTCTTTGTTATTTATTCTGTCACGGCAATGAAAAGAGTCCTAGTATAGGGAGAACTTATTCTGGGTCACAGTTCCAGGAGGTTGAGAACTCTCAAACTAGGAGCCACAATAAACTCTTTCTTCCTTACTTCTTTATTCTTTGTCATTTATTCTGTCACGGCAATGAAAAGAGTCCTAGTATAGGGAGAACTTATTCTGGGTCACAGTTCCAGGAGGTTGAGAACTCTCAAACTGGGAGCCACA